CCAGGCATACGGGGCGTGGGGAGGTGTTGAGACAAAAAGAAAACTTAAAGCAGGCGCAAACCTAAAGGGTTCTAGGTAGTTTAGCGTTAACTCTACCAGCCGCAGCACATCCCAATGTGAGGGGGTGTTGAGAAAGAAAAGGAAAGTGAGGACTTGGAAGAACTCTAGGGGCTCAGAGTGATCTGAGTGCCAGAATATAGGAGTCTGAAAAAGGGGAAGATCCGCCCCTGGAAGGAGGCCTGGAAGGTATAGATGTGTTTGCTAGTGATGGCGTCGTAGAAAACGACCTCCCCGCGATCATGATCCACGTGGACGCCTACTTTACTCGGAGGAATGGGAAGCACCTCCCGAGTGTCGTCCTGAATGAGGGCCTGGCACTGGGTGCCCTTAATGCGCAGTACCCAGAAGCCAGCCTTGGGCTCCACCTGTAGGAAGCCCCGGCGTGGCGCGTGCTCCGATACCACGCCCACCAGGCAAGCTCCTCCCCCGGGCCCTTGGAGCTCCGCCTCCCAGGTCTGTTTGCCAGAGGAGAGGCTAGGCAAGCCCACCACGCAGCGGAATGGGTAGAAGCACCTGGGGTCTGCTGGCTCCGCCGAGTTACTCAGAGGGCCGATGTCCAGCTTCACTGTCTTCAGATCCTGGGAAAGAATGAGGTCCGGGTGAGCTGAGGTTGCGTCCAGGGTCACGGGGGCTGTGGAAGATGGAAGGAAAACGAGGGGCAACCCTGGGTCAAGGTGTCCAGTCTCCCACCTCTGAGTATCTTCAAGATGCTGCCAAAGGGAGGCTTTCCCTCCAGTCACAGCCCTCATTGTCCCCAAAGAAGTCCTAAGCCCCTCTCCCTCCTTCTGAAATCAATCCCTAAATTGGAGAAATGAGCTACAGGGTTGCTATGAGTCGGAACCGACTAGAACTAGAAGGCCCTTAACATCAACAACAACAACAACCCTGTAGGTGCGGTGGAATGAGCCCTATTGTTGTTGTTGTTAAACGCCATTGAGTTGGTTGCGACACATAGTGACGCTGTATAGGATTTCGGAGGAACAACTGGTGAGCCTCAACTGCCAACCTTGCAGTTCAAACCGACTTTGCAGTCCAGTGCACTAACCCGTGGCGTTGTAGAATAAACACTGGACTGCAAGATCAGTTTGAACTTCAGAGTCGGCAGTTCAAATCTGTCAACCTTTCCTCGGAAACCCTAAACAGGGTCACTATGAGTCGGAACCGACTCAACAGTAGTTGACAACAACAAATAAGAGATATATGGAAGGAGCCCTGGTGGCTCAAGTTCCCCACCAGCTGCTAATCTGGAGAAAGACCTGGAGATCTGCTCCTGTAAAGATGTAGGAAACCCTAGGGGCACTTCTGTTCCTTTATATAGGGACACTAGGAAGTAGAATCCACTAGATGACACACAAGAACGAGATATTCAGGCTCAGACTTTTTGAGCTACAGTCAATCTTATTGCAAATGTAATTCAAATCCTCAGATACACTAGTGGCCTTGGTGTTATTCATGGTAACCCCATAAGTGTGGAGAAGTATGCTATGGGGTTTTCAATGGCTGGTTTCTCAGAAGTAGATCACCAGCTCTTTTTTTTGAGAAACTCAACCCTCAAACTTTACAACCAAGAATATCAATCATTTATACCACTCAGGGATTCCCAAACCCTCCCACAGCAATACAGGTATGTTGTTAGGTGCCCTCGAGTCAGTTCTGACTCAGTAATCCTATGCACCATAGAACGAAACACCACCTGGTCCTGCAAAATTCTCACAATCCCTCACAGACATTACCAGGAGATTTTCCTAATAAAGTGAATACATCAATAAAATGAGTCACATGAAGTTTTAGGACTCTTGCTGTGGCTCTGTAGATCAGCACCGGACTGTGAACCACAAGGCTGTCAGTTCATGTCCACCAGCTGCTCCTTGGAAACTATACAGGGTCGCTACGAGTCGGAACTGACTTGACAGCACTTAACAACAACAACAGCAATAGTTTTACAGTTTCACCATGCATATCGAAGTTACGTTAACACTAAACTGTAATCTATTAAATGTGCAATCACATTAAGAAAAATATTGTGAAAACTTCCAAAATGTGGCACCATGATATGAGGTGAGCAGTTGCTGTTGCAAAATTGATTCCAATAAACTTGCTCAACTCAAGGTTGCCACACATTTTCGATTTGTGAATAAAACCAATATATCCAAAGTGCAATAAAGCGAAATGCAATAAAATGAGGTTGTCGTTGTTGAGTTGCTACGTGCCATCGAGTCAGTTCTGACCCATAGCAATCCTGTATAGGGTTTTCAAGGAGTGAGTAGTGAGCTTGAACCACCAACCTTGTAGTTCAAAAGACTTTGCAGTCCAGTGCATTAACCCATCCATTGCCCTTCCTGTGCTTGGAGGATTGGGAGATGGAATATCTGGAAATGTGGGCAGAGGACAATGGTCAAGTTCATTGTCGGGATGGGTTGTTGTTGTTGTTGTTAAGTGCCGTCGAGTCGGTTCCGACCCATAGCGACCCTGTACAGGGTTTCCGAGGGTGTAAATCTTTACGGGAGTAGAAAGCCTCATCTTTCTCCCACGGAGCGGCTGGTAGTTTCGAACCGCTGACCTTAAGGTTCGCAGCCCGATTCGTAACCACTACGCTACCAGGTGGATATAATTCAGGCCAGATGTACTCATCTCTGGCTCTCCAAGCCTGAATGAACTGCTGACTCAGTAAATATAAGGAGGCTTCAAAGACTTCATGGAAATTGAAATTAAAGATTGTGCTTTAGTTGTGTGGCACTGTAAGATGAGCACTGGACTGGAAGGTCAGCTTGAACCACAAAGTTGGAGGCTCAAACTCACCAGCAACTCCTTGGAAACCGTATACAGGGTCATTATGAGTCAGAATCGATGGTATTTAACAAGTATTAAAATGAAGAGGGAGAGAAAAAAAAAAAAAAGGAACAGAAAGGAGACAAGGATTTCCTTTATCCACCAGGGAGCACCCAAATCAAGCAATAAAGAGAAACCAAGCTTTGAGTTGTTGAGGGCCCAAGGGGAGGAGCTGTAGTCTTTTCTCCCCCTTTAGATCAAGGACACCACATCCCTTCTCCAGGTCTTCATATACACACACACACACACACACACACACACACCATTGCCACTGTTAGTAACCCAGGTCTCACCCCCTGGCTCCATTTCCTTGCCTGACTCCACTGAAAGCAGGAACCTTTGCCTGCTCTCAGCCGCTCACTCACTCATGGCATCCTTGAGCTCTTCCTTCTCTGTGGCTTCAATGCTCCCAAAGTTCTCAAAGCTGCCCAGGAGTTGAGGATTTCCAGAAAAGGACATCCTATTTCCCAGTTGGAATTCTGGAGGAATTGTTTTCTGAGTAGAGGGCCTAGAGAGAGTTGAGGGGCGGGGAATTGGTGCTGGCTGCTCAGTTTTTCCACTGCCTTTGAGGGAGAAGAAAAGAAAAAAACAGAAGTCAGAAAGAACAAGGCAGAAAGAATCCTCCAATGACAGGAAGCATTGCTGGGTTGTAGATACAGCAGAAGGGATAAAGGTTAGACTGAAATTGTACTGAAGAAGCTAGGGGTAAGTTGATCAAGGGTGTGTGATTTCCTGGAGAAGGTATAATTTGGGAAGGAATGAAGGAGATGGATAAGACATCTGCCCCCTTTCTCTTCCTCTATCCATCTGTCTCCATCCTCCTCTTTCTTGCTTCCCCCCACAACCCCCCACACACACACACACACTAACACCCTCCACTCCAAACTCCCCCATCCCATACTGCCAATTTTTGTAGCTCATGCCTCTCCCACAGGCTCCATTTCCTTGCCTGACTCCACTCAAATCAAGGACTTTGATTGCACCTAGTCACTCACTCGGGGTCTCCTTGAGCTTTTCCCTCCCTGTAGCTCCAGTACTCCCAAGATTCTCAACACTGGCTCCCAGGGAAAGTTTTCCAGCAAAAGACATCCTGTTTCGGGACTGGAACAATTCTGCAAGGACTGTTTTCTTAACAGATAGAGGACTGAATACAGTTGAGGAGCTGGAATTTGATGCTGGCTGTTCAGTTTTGCTGCCTTAGAGGGAGGAAAGAGAGGTCAGTAGGAGCAAGGCCGAAATAACCCTCCATCGACAGCAAGTATTGCTGAGTTGTAGATAGAGCAGAAGGGATCGATCTTAGACTCAAAGTGAACCTGAAGAAGCTAAGGGTAAATTGATTATATGTGGGTGATTTTCTAGAGGGAATGAAGGAGATGAATGAGATACAGTCGCTTCCTTTTCCACTATCCCCTACACACACCCCTCTCCATCTCCCACCATGATTCTATCATCTGAAATCTTCAAGAATGTGGATTTCACAGCTCCGTAGCCTTGAAGTCTTGTTATGGCACTGTAGGATAAGCATTAGACTGTGAACCACAAGGATGATGGTTGAAACCCACCAGCCATTCTTTGGAAACCCTATAGATGGTCCCTATGAGTCAGACCCGTCTCAATGGCATGTAACAACAATACAGACCTCTACCAACTACAGTCTTTCAAATCCTTCTCCCTGCTCTTCCCTATTCCTTTCCATTTCCCACTAGAATGGAGAGAAAACATTCCCACCTAACTCGGATCAGAGAAGATGATCTTTCATGTTAGGAAGTTCTTTCTGCAATCTAATCTAAGTGGTGCCTTCCCCCTGCCCTGTCAGTTCAGAGCATTCCCGTCTGTGCTCTGGCAGGGAGAACACAGAGAAAAGCCTTTTCTTCTGCCCTGTGACCACTTGTCACTTGGAAGTCTCTTCTCAAAACTACAAGAAGTCTCCAGTGTGAGGAATCAGGACTCTTACCTGTAGAGGGGGACTCAGGCTCCAAGGCTGTGTTCATTTTAGAATTGTTATTCTCTAACACAGTCGCTGCAACCAGGAGAAAGAAAACCAGTTTTGGTCATGATAACCTGAAGTTGCACATTAAAAACAAAAATCAACATCCAGCCACCATCAACAAGAACCAGTGGTTCTCATGGGGACTGTCCCCCCACTTCTGGGGTAGTGTGGAAATCTTTCAGGTTGTCTCTGTGTCCTCTATTGGCTTTTAGTGCCTCCCTTTTAGGGCTAGGGTGTTCAGAAATCACCAGTCATGGAGCACAAGAATTTATCCCCCCACTCAACTACCAATGTCTTCTCTTGCGAAAGAACTCTGTAAAATCGAATCTTTCAATGCTCTCTGGCTTTGGAATGCATTATGAGTTCTAATTCTGTTTTTGTCATTTAATCCTCACATAGAGTTAGAGGGGTCTCTCATCAATTTCAGGTAGTAACACCTACCTTGGAGGAGTTATGTGTTTTGAATTATTGCATGTGGGGTGCCAAGGGCAGCTAACAGTTGAGAGATTGAACTGCATACACCTTCCTGGCCCACCTTTTCCTCCCTTTCTCTGAGAAGTAAAGAAATAGTTTTAATTTTTTTTTTTAAATTACGTTTGAATACTTTAAAATTTTGGAATTAAGCACTGTTTTCTGAGTCATTGTTGGTTGCAGAGTAGAACTCCACATTGTACTCAAGGCCATGACCTCTCAGAAGCATTTTGCCAAACCTGTCTTCTATGGCACCTCTAGGTGGGTTTAAACTACCAACGTTTTGGTGGGTGGTTGAGCGTGTAGCTACTTACACCAACCAGAAACCCCTTCTTGTGAGTTACTGAAGTTTAAAATACTACAACTCATAGCCTGTGCTTCTTTCTCTTCTTTCTCAGAATTCTGGACTGAATGTAATCACAGAGATTGCATTCTTCTTCTTTGCTTGTCTCAATGTCCCCAATTAACAGGAGCAGCCTTCTGACCCCACTTACAGTTCTTTGAGGTGTCTATGAAAAACATGCTTTTGTATTTCTTCTTATCAGCCAAGAGGTTGTCTGTGGGGAGAGAATGAGATGGAGAGGTGCCTGGAATTCAGACCTCCAGCCACCTAAACTATGGAAAAATACATTCGGTTCTTTGAAACCACACACTTGTATTTCTGTGGCAGCAGCTCTAGGAAACTAGTACAGAATTCCTAACATCTTCAAACTTTTCTTAGTTGCAAACCCAGACAGGTTCTAGAGAAATATCTGACCAAAATCGAGAGCCCAAGCAAGTCATCCACTTCTGTGCTGTCTGATTGTTATCTTCCTGTGGTTCTGGGAGGAGGAATATCTCCCAATTTTCACTGATTTTGAATCTACTTTCTCTTTGTTGTCAGGAAGGGACAGGGCTCCAGTGTGTGCCAGGAAAGTAAAAGTCCAGCCAGAGGGAGAAGGCTGGGCCCTGCCTTCCCTTTGTCCACTGTACAGCCATACAGCAGAGCCCAACCCCCCCCCCACCCACACACACACACTGTGCTGGGCAAGGGGGAAGCCATGGGACATCAGTTCAGGCCCTCTCCTTGGTTCTCACAGGAATCGGAGAGGCTGACAAGTACAATAAGGTTAGGATCAATGCCTGAAAGGAAGCAAGGTGACATTTGAAATGTGTTGATGTTTCTGAAAAAGTCACAGCCTTGAAGATCCTATGGAGCCCAGTTGTACCCTGACACACATAGGGTTGCCATGAATCATCACCGATTCCACAGAAACTGATAGATATGAAGGTTTAAGATTATATAATAAACCAGGAGACAGAATGAGGACCTTATTCCTAAGTGTTTTAGTGGAAACTGAAATCAGGACTACCCAAGCCATTGTAGCGGGTGGATGTGGAAACTTCTAATCCTCATAACCTAGGATTCAACTTCTAAATCCCAGTAAAAGTATGGCATCAACTCAACATCAATGGAATGATTTATTATTTGGTGCTCCTGGGAACTGTAAACAATTAACATGCTGAGCTGCTGACCTAAAGATTGGAGCTTTGAATTCACCCCCAGGTACCTTGGAAGAAAGGTCTGGTGATGTACTTCAGAAAACCAGCCTTTGAAAACCTCATGGAGCACAGTTCTATGTCAACACACATGGAGTCTGTATGTGTCTCAGTTTTCGCCACAGTAACTGGATTTTAAGAATGATTATTACTGGCATGAATGTACAAGTTACAGTTCAGCTTTCCTGGGGTAATGGGAGTAGAACCCCTAAATATAGGTGATAGAGGAGCTATGAGCCTCTTCCTTACCTCTGCATTTCTTCAAGGTGTCTACAATGGAGTTATGTCTTGATATGGCATCACTTAATTTTTTCTCCAAGTCCGTAGAAACAGGGGTTAGGGAGACCAGTTGAAATGCTTTACACCTGAGAAGACAGGACTGAGCTGTGCGGTGAGACAGGGAGGAGATAAGGATGTGAGGATAGGTTCATGTAGATGGGGGTAGAAGTCAAGGGAAAGAGAGCTGGGAATGAGGAGGCAGGACAAATGACTTGGGGACAATGATGAAGTGGAGGATAGGGAGATGGAGCCATCCATTTGAGCAAACTGTCATGCAGGAGGTTCCAGAAAATACGAGAATCTATTTTGAAAACTAGAAAGCTGGAGAAAGCAACTCTTCCATAACCAACATACTTGCTTGTTATTGTTGTGAAGTGCCATTGTGTTTGTTCTGACTCAGCGGCTCTGTATAGGGTTTCCAAGCCTGTAACTTTCTTCAGGAGTAGAAAGCCTCATCTTTCTGCTTAACTTAGGCCTTTTCTTTCAGCCTGAATACTTGACCCCAAAGTTAGACCAAGGTGCAAGTATTTTTGAGGAGGAGTGTTGTAAGTTAGCATTACATGTATGAATAGGTAAGGAAAATGTACTTGGGATGGCCCATCATACCTGTACAAGACAACTTTGATATCCTAGAAGAGAAAGAGAAAAGACACAACCTCAGCTCTTGGCCAATTGGTGGCATCAAAGAGTAAAGAGTCTACTTGGTGTGAGACAGAGGGGCAAACCAATCCCTTGCTTCTTACCCACCATGTTGGGCTGTTCCAAGATATGCCTGTGGGCAAGGAAATGGCTAGACTTCAAGGGGAGCTCAGTGGAGAGGAGGGAAAGAGGAGTGAAATTCTGAAGATAAATTTTGTCTCTAAAACTAAACCAAGGGATCTCTGCTTGATGTTGAGGGGGGCAAGTTGGAATGACTTTGCATGTTCTTTCTTAAAACAAAGCAATGGCTTCTTGAGCTGGTGGGAATGGGAGGTGAATCAGGTGAGCTCACAGATTATTCTGAGCATCTGCTATGCCCATATTGTCCACTGTGGTAGCCAGGCCACCTGTGACATTTGAAATAGGGCTAATGTGATGAAAAACTGGACTTTCAATTTTACAGAATTTTCAAAAATTTAAATTTAAATACTGACAAAGTTAAAATGTTCTTTCCATTAAACACAAATTAACTGAAATGGTAGCATTACATTTTACTTCAACCTTTGAAAATATACTGCCCAAATTAAGCCAATTATATAGAGGTATAAACTGTTTGCCACATTTCTAAGGACTTGAGATTAAAAAAGAAATGCACAATATCTCATTAATACTTTTAAATATTGGTTACATTTTGAAATGATAATACTTTTTATATAGTGACTTAAATAGATTATGTTATTAAAGTAAATTTCACTATTTCTTTTGAATGTGGATTCTAAAAAATTGCACATGTGGCTTAGAACATGCCAGTAAGTTTCATGTGTGGCTGGCATTATATGTCTATTGAACCGTGTTGGACAATAGTGGAATGAATGGGGTGGTCTGGGGTGTTCTCCAAGTGGCCATCTGTGACTAAGAATGGATTCATCACTAACTCTGCCCCTAAGGGACACTCACCCAGAGCAGATCTCTGGAAGACATTTTCTGCTTGGCCTTCAGGGATTCAGCAAGCCTACCGAGATGCTTCTGCAGTGCCTCAGAGGAAGTGATATAAATTTTTTCCTCCTTGGCTCCCTCTTGATCCAGCCGGTCCACTTGGGACAGGAGGAGCTTCTCCTCCTCCTGAAGGACCTGATGCAAATGCTTGAATTCTTGGATGATTTTTTGCCTTTCATTCTTCACCTGGGCCTGGGGACAAGGAGAGTGGACACTCAGAACATGAAAAGATGGCCATGCTATCTAATTTTTCAATATTATGAAATTAATACTTATATTCATTGCCAACACAGAACAATGATTTGTGGCAGATTTCAAAAAATATATATCAAAAAGAACTAACTTTTATTTTTTTTTTTTAGCATTCACTATCAACTCAGTTGTAGGTGAAATCATTCACATTTAGTCCCCCCCTTTTTTTTTGGTACCCGTCAAGGACTCAATCTCTAAAACTACCTTACATTGATTTTCTTTTCCTTGTGAATTGAGTGAAGGTTAACAGACAAGATTATCAGCTTTACTTTCAATCAATTATACATTTTGTTTTGCAAAAAATAATTATCCTGCTTCCTCCCTGTGGCTTCCCTTTACATCTTATTTTTCACAAATGAACAAAGCAAAAATATTTCATGTACACATACAAAACAAAAAATATATATTCATTTAAATGTCCAAAGGGCACATTTTGCAAGCCAGCCTCCTACCCATAAGCACACAGACTTTCTCAGTCCATGGATCTAGAGTCTGCAGCTGCTCTCACTCTTTCTATTCCACCACCTCACCACCATCTCTGCTATCACCAAACTTCTGGGTGGGATCTCACACTCCACTCATGCTTTCCTTCTTGACAGTCTAATCTTGCATTTTTACAAGGTTTCAATTTATGGTCTCCTATGTGGTGCTGTAGGAAGAAGGAGTGACAAACTACTTCTGAATATTTAGTCACTGAAAACCTTATGAATAGCAGAGAAACAGTGCCAGAAAATGAATAGCAGATATAGTGTCAGAAAATGAGCCCCTCAGGTTGGAAGGCACTCCAAGCATGTCAACAATTGTGAGGTTAGCCCAGGATCAAGCAGTGTTTTGTTCTGTTGTGCATAGGGTCACTATGAGTCGGTACCGACTCAGTGGCACCTAACAACAACAATTTGTGGTGCTGTAAGAGAAACAATGAACTGCAAACCACAAGGTTGATGGTTCAAACTCACTCCTCAGAAACCCTAGAAAGGGCTTCTAAGAGTCAGAACTGACTCAATGGGACTTCACAACAACAATGTTACAAAATTGGTCTTTTGACACGTAGACACACAAAAGTTAACAGGTTGGGTGGAGTTACATTGTCTTTATTTTCTAACTGGCAAATTCATTTCTGGTTAAGGAACAGCTTGTAAGGGACAGAAATGAGTCTTAAAGTCAGTACTTCCAATGCTAAAACCAGTCCTGATTTTCCCTACACCACTATCTCCAGGTAGAATAGACTAGAGTGGTCAACCTACTCCAGTATCCCAAGGTGCTATGACAGATAAGCCAAATGCTGTGGTGGAGGAGAAGGCATGAACACATCCTAACCTACAATGCTACGAGTCTTTCTACCCCTCCTACACTCTGAACCACCTTCTTTGACACCGGGTCTTCTTCTGAGCCTTCAGTATAATAAGATATCTTAGGGACATGAGAGGGAAGATATTTCTGCTACAAAAGGGCTATGGGACAGAGAGATATCTCCACCTGAGCATTTTCTTACCTTGAATTCACTGATCTTCTGTTCACCTTTTACATTCATTTGTACTAGTGCCTTCTCCTTTTGCTGCAAGGTCTCAAGCTGAGATTGAATTAATACCTGTGGGGAGAGGACCATATTGGTAAGCTGTGCCTGGGAGTTCTGTTGGCCTCACAAAGCCCCTGATTTTTCTTGAGGGCAGGTGAGATTGTAAGCTGCAGGAAGGAGAAGCTAGAGGCTGGTAGTAACGAAGGTAGACCATAGGGTCTCAGTGACCTACAAGCAAAGAACGTGCTTTCTGTGAATAATTATGATTAGTAACTAAATGTCATTTTGGGATTAATAATTTCCACAGACTTTTCCTCATTTGTCCTATCAGACTACCTAAAAGAATTAAATTCTACTATGTTCTGTTAAAGGAACTCTGTCGTGGTTACGTGTCGGGCTGCCAACCTCAAGGTCAGCAGTTCACAACTACCAGCTGTTCTGTGGGAGAAAGATGAGGCTTTCTGCTCCCATAAAGATGTATAGCCTTGGAAACTCTATACAGGGTCGGAATCAACTCCATAGCACATCACCACCACCACAATCATGTTATGTTAAGTCCATTTAAAAAGCGAGACAACTAAGGCTCAGAGAGACCAGTGACTCCTTGAACTTATTATAGAAAACTCAGGCGCTTTGATTAGCGCCCAAAGTTCTGATTCACCATTCCATGCCTTTTTCATTCTCCATCATGCCTTGACTTCAAAAGACTTTAGTCCTTTGAAACAAATTATATGTCAGAGAAAATGACACCCACAGTGTCCACACTGCCTGACTCTGAACTGCCCATTGTGGGCCACAGTGGTTCAAATCCAATGGAAGAAAGTAGTCATTACCATGTCCTCACCAGATCCCTGGTCAGCTGGGAGAAATGGGCAACCAAATACTTACCTGATATTTTGGGGCAGCTTCTTCTATCAAGCTGATTTTGTGTAATTTATGTTCCTTGGATTGATGACACACTACACAGAGAAACTTCCCATCATTCTCACAGAAATAATGGAACTTCTCTTGGTGCTTTGGACATTTCAGTTCTTGCATTTCTGGCTGCTCCTCAAAGGGACTTAAAATTTGGATTTTCTCCACCAGATTCACCAACAGCCAGTTGGGCTTCAGCGTGTCCTTCATCACAGATTTCTTGCAGAGGGGACACTTGAGCAAATTGTCTGATGGGCCCACATTCTTAGTGATGCATCTGAAGCAGAAATTGTGCCCACAAATGATGGTGACAGGGTCTTGTAGAATTTCTAAGCAGATGGGGCAGATCACTTCCTCCTGCAACCTACTGAGAACCTGTGAACTGGTCATGATGGAGCGGGAGGGCTGCTTCCAGTCTATAGCAGGTCTGCCTGTAGGTTTCTCTGAACAGCAGGGAGCTCCTTAGAGCACACTGGGTCTAGTAAGGAAGAAAGAAGTAGAGGAGAAGGTGGTTAAAGAGTCTACCAATTAGATGAAGGAGGGGAGGTCTGGAAGATCAACAAGAGAGAGAGAAAAATAAATTAATAAAGAAGAGTAAGAGTTAGAATGCAGAGGATATTTTAAAGAGCAAGCTCAGATAGGCAATCCTACCTTAATATCTCTTGGGAGCAAATAGATACTGTGAAGAAAGATTTGCTGCTTATAAAGTGAGGCAAGTTGTCCTGAACCTTGGACATCATTAAAATTCCTTTATAAGGCCATTAACAGAGTTCTAAAGAGACAGTACATCAAAGTCCGCTGTACAGAGGGCTTGCCATCAGACTCAGCAGGAAGTAGAACAGCTAGGAAAAGCCTCTAGCTGGTTCAGCAAATATAGCCTCTGATATCTCTTGTCTGCAGAGCCCAAACCTTGGGAAAACACATTAAAAGGAGAATCAGTTGCTGCAGAGTGGGCTCTGGCATCTGGTAATTTCATGTGTATTGGAGTAGAACTATGTTCCCAGAGAGTCTTCAATGACTGGTTTTTGGAAGTAGATGACCAAGATCACTGAGACAACTCTAGTTGGACTTGAACCACCAATGTTTTGGTTAGCTAATAAGTGTTTTAACTGTTTGCACCATCCAGGAACTCTATATGGAAAGCAGATGTGATAGTTAAGATTATGTGTCACCTGGACTGGGTCAGGATTGTCAGTGGTATGGCAGTTGAGATGTAGTTATCCCCATGATGAGCTCTAATACAGCATAACCACTTCTATAATGAGCTCTGCTACGAGCAGCCAATCAACAGAAAGGAAGTTGCCTTGACTGTGTGACCTGCTTCCAATATATTGGCTATTTGAGCAAAGCAGCTGATTTTCTGCTGGCTGTGGTTCCTGCATCTGACTTGTCATCTGACCTCAGGTTCTTTGGACTTAAGCCAGTGGCCTTCTCTGTTGCTTGCCTCTCCTGGGAGTTATTAGTAGCTTGCCGTCTTACTGGCTGAACCTGCCTCCCTACCTGTGATCCACCACTCGTCTGTCAGTCTGCTTTACTGTGGTGGCTTGTGTGCTGCTGTGCTGCTGGAAAATATGACACCCACCTTTTAAATACCAGCAAGGTCACCAATGGTAGACTGGTTTCAGTGAAGCTTTCAGACTAAAGCAGACCAAAAAGAAAGAGAGACAGACCACTTCTGAATGGTTAGCCTCTGAAAACCTCATGAAAAGCAGTGAAACATTGTCTGATATAGTGTCAGAAGATAAGCCACTCAGGTTGAAAGTCACTCAGAATAGAACTGTGGAAGAGCTGCCTCCTCAAAGTAGAGTTGACCTTAATGATGGAGATGGTGTACAGCTTTCAAGATCTTCATTTGCTGATAGGGTACAACTCAAAATGAAGAGAAAAAGCTATAAACATCCATTAGTAATCAAAACATGGAATGTACAAAGTATGAATCTAGGAAAATTGGAAGGGGTCAAAAATGAAATGAAATTCATAAAGATCAATATCCTAGACATTAGTGACCTGAATGGGACTGGTATTAGCCATTTGAATCTGACAAACATGGTTTCCTATACCAGGAATGACACACTGAAGAGGACTGGCATAGTATTCATAATCAAAAAGAACATTTCAAGCTCTATCTTGAAGTACAATACCACCTGTGATCGAATAATATCCATAGAAGGAAGACCAGTTCATTCCACTGTTATTCAAATCTATGCACCCGCCACTAAAGTCAATGATGATGAAAATGAAGAATTCTACTTTAGAGTCGTGGTGTGGCACTGTGGGCTAAGTATCAGACTGCAAAGTCAGTTTGGACTGCAAGGTCGGTGGTCCAAGCTGTTCCTTGGAAACCCTATACAGGGTTGCTATGGGTTGGTATCAACTCAGCAGCACTTAACAGCAACAACAACCAACTTCTTCATACTGAAATTGATCAAACATACAATCAAGATGCATTGATAATTACTGGTGATTGGAATGGGACAGTTAGAAACAAAGAGATTAGTAGCTGTAAAATATGACTGGTGATAGGATGCTGGAGTTTACATGACAGAATTTCACAATACCAACTTGTTTATTGCAAATACCTTTTTCAACAACATAAATGGTGAATATACAGGTGCACTTCAGCAGATGGAATACACAGGAATCAACTGACTTCATCTGTGGGAAGAGATGATGGAGAAACTTACTAATATTGGCCAAAACAAGGCCAAGGGCCTATTGTGGAATTGACCAGCAATTGCTCCTATGCAAGTTCAGGTTGAAACTGAAGAAAATTAAAACAAATCCATGAGAGCTAAAATATGATCTGAGGATATCCCACCTGAATTTAGAGACCATCTCAAGAACAGATCTGACGCATTAGACACTAAATACTGAAGACCAGAAGAGTTGTGAGATGACATCAAGAACATTATACATGAAGAAAGCAAAAGGTCACTAAAAAGACAGGAAAGAAAAAACAGGCCAAAATGGATGTCAGAGGAGACTGTAAAACATGCTCTTGAATATTAAGAAGCTAAAACAACAGGAAGAAACGATGAAGTAAAAGAACTGAACAGAAAATTTCGAAAGGGCAGCTCAAGAAAACAAAGTCAAGTATTATAATAAAATGTTCAAAGACCCAAAGTTAGGAATCCAAAAGGGAAGAGCACACTCAGCATTTCTCAAACTGAAGAAAAAAAATCAAGTTTCAGGTAGCAATATTGAATGACTCAGGAAGCATTAAAAGAAGATGGATGGAATACACAGTCATTGTACCAAAAAGAATTTATCGTGATTCCATCATTTCAAGAGGTACCATATGATCAAGAATCAACGATATTGAAAGAATAAGTCCAAGCTATACTTGGTGTTGATGCAAAACAAAGAACGGATTTGAGGCATTAGACACTAATGACTGAATATCAGTCAAGTTATAGGATGACATCAAGAACATCATACATGAAGAAAGCAAAAGGTCATTCAAAAGACAGGGAAGGAAGAAAAGACCAAAGTGGATGTCAGAAAGACTCTGAAATTTGCTCTTGAACCTAGAGCAACTAAAGCAACTAAATGGAAGATACGATGAAGTAAAGGAGCTAAATAAAAAAATTTCAAAGATCACCATAGAATGATCAACCATTCAAAATCAAAAGAGCATCATTTTCCTAAGGACACAGTTGAAACAGGATGGGATGCAAATAGAAAGCACAAGAATGAAATGGGATAACTGTTGTAGCAAGGAAGGGATTGCAATTATTGAGATGAAGCAAAGTGCATGATTTGTTGAATGTAAAATTGATGATGGTGTCTGAAACTTTCACTCAATTCACAATAAAGTTTTTTGTTTTTATTTCAAAGGGCAGCCTAAGAAGACAAAATCAAGTAATATAATGAAATGTGCAAAGACCCTGAGTGAGAAAATCAAAAGGGAAGAACAATCTCAAGCATTTTTCAAACTGAAAGAACTGAAGAAAAAATGGAAGCCTCAATTTGAAATACTGAAGGCTTCTAAGAGCAAAGTATTGAATGATGGATTAAAAGATTACTTTTGATGTGATACACAGTCACTATACCAAAAAGAACTGGTCTATGTTCATCCATTTCAAAAGTTAGCATATGATCAAGAACTTATGAAGGAAGAAGTCCAAGATACAATGATGACATTAGCAAAAAAATACAAGATTCCAGGAATTGACAGAATACCAACTGAAAGGTTTCAACAAACTGATGCAGCTCTGGAAGCACTTACTATTTTATGCCAAGAAATTTGGGAAACAACTACCTGGCCAACCAATTAGAAGAGATCCACATTTTGCCTATTCCAAAGAAAGAAAAGTGACCCAACAATGGGGAAATTGCAGAACAATATCATTAATGTCACACGCAAGTTAATTTTTGCTGAAGACAATTCAAAAGCATTTGCAGGAGTATATCGACAGTGAACTGCCAGAAATTCAAGCAAGATTCAGAAAAAGGCATAGAATGAGAGACATCATTGCTGATATAAGATGGATCTTGACTGAAAACAAAATATTTACCTGTGTTATAGTGACTGTGCAAAGGTTGTGTGGATGATAAACGTGAATAACATCATGAAAAATGAGAATTCCAGAACCCTTAATTGTGCTCATGAGCAATCTGTACTTAGACCAAGAGGCATTCATTCAAACAACAAGGAGATACTGCCTGGTTTAACCTCAACAAGGGTGTGTTTCAGGGTTGCATGCTTTCACTATACTTATTCAATCTGTTTGCTAAACAAATAATCTGAGAAGCTGGCCTATATGGGATCAGGATTGAAGGAAGTGTCATTAATACAAAGACAGATGACAATTTTTCTTACTTAAAGTGAAGAGTAGTTAAAGCACTTACTAATGAAGATCAATAAATACAGCCTTCAGTATAGTTTACAACTCAATATAAAGAAAGCAAAAATCCTCATAGCTGGACCAATCAACAACATTGTAATAAACAGAGAAGAGACTGAAGTTGTCAATGGTTTCATTTTACTTGGATCCAAAGTCAATGCTTATGGAAGCAACAGTCAAGATATTAAGCCATGTATTGCAATGGGCAAATCTGCTGCCAAAGACATCTTTAAATTGTTAAAGAATGAAGATGTCACTTTTATAACTGAGTTCTATCTGACTCAGAACACGGTATTTTCAATGCATGTGAAAGTTGGACAATGAATAAGGAAGACTGGAGAAGAATTGATGTGTTCAAATTATGGTGTTGGAAAAGAATATTGAATATATCACGGACTACCAGAAGAATCCACCACTCACTCATCTCTCAGTTTGTCATACTGTGGTGACTTCCATGATTCTGGAAGCTATGCCACCAGAATTTTAATACCAGCAGGGTCACCTATGGTGGACAGATTTCAACTGAGCTTCCAGACTAAAACA